AGCAGTACGCGAGCATTGGTTTTTTTTTTTTTTTTTTTTTTTTTTTTTTTTTTTTTTTTTTTTTTTTTTTTTTTTATGCCCCAAACCAACCTCTGTGGAGTATCTTTGAAGTATTCGATGCTCGACAGTGCAGTGCAGCACAAGCATAATGCTTTTTTTTTCCTACTTCGCCGGAGTAGATTTGGAAGCTAATTAGTATACTTGAAATATGCTTCTACATGTATCTAATCTACTGCATTAATGCTCCTGTCTGTACAAATGCAATTTCGGAAGTAGAATTGCAGTAGGCTATACTACATTATACTGCAAACATGCTCCAAACCGTTACTGCACTAATGTTTAGCCTAGGTCCCAACCGAACGTACAGGCTGCTACGTGTGGTCTACGGCCAAACAAATGTGGAAAACGTGGGAGTTCGTGCGTGAGGTGCACGTCCATCGTGCAACTTTTGGGAGGATGCAAACAGCGGGAAGAAACTTTTCGACATGATCAACAGCCGCTTGATTCCTTCCCTGCGATCTAACTACGTCCTGGCCGGACGCAAGGAAACTAAACAGCCGTGCGGCCAAAACGAAGTTGGGACCTAGGCTTAAGAAGGACTTGCGTGGGAAGTGAGATTCTGCGCAAAATTTGGACGCAAACAGCCCGTAAGAGCCCGTACAGCCGGTTGTGACCGAGGCTTAAATTACGGTTTCCCAACTGGCATAAAATACTGCATTTAAATGACTTGAGGGTACTTTTGGCCATTCGCTATGCATCAGCAATTAAAAAGCTTGTCAACTGATGACATTTAATCTAAAAGACGATCAGCTTTTTATATCATAAGATCTAAACCACATATATATCGTACGTAATATTCCAAATAACAAATAACGTTTTCACGACGTTATCCGGTGGTTGCATGCTGTTAATGGTATAGAAGAACATTATGGTGATGTTATGGGCGTTTTTAACTCAATGCGAAATGGTGTCCTTGCTAACAAAATAACCCATTATAGTAACGTTATAATTTGTAGAAAGATTCGAAGTTTCGAACACCTCGACACCATTAAGGAATGGACGTCATTCACTTACGCAGCTCCGTGGTGGGAATGGCATCAATTAAATTCCTAATTACCGCAACTTAAACTTAACGACTCTACAAGAACCAGTTTGAAGAGCAGTGTGCACGTTTTACCGCTTATAGTAAAGCTGCCAGTAACACATATAAACAACTTCTACTAGATTTTTATACGACTCAAATAAATGCCAAGGGATATAGTGAATAAATCACTTGATCATCCATAAAATAACTCTAGACTGTTCCTTTCTTTAAAGTGTAGCCGTTGATTTTGTTTGAAAACAGAAAAAAAAGACAACCCATTTGTCTTCTTCGTCTTAAATAGTCATTCCATCATACGGCTCTAAGGTAGATAATGGCATCAATTAAATCCCCAATTACTGCAACTAAAACTTAACGACTCTACAAGAACAAGTTTGCCCACCACGTACATGTACACTGTCACGTGTACCGTGCTATGATCAGGAACATACCAGTAAAGATCTTATTTGGTCTTTCGCACTCGCAAGATGGAGACCCTGCTGACGATGAAGTACTGAGGTAGGTAACTGTATTAAGAGCGCGTCCATGAGAAAGTCAGACAGATCGGTCAGAAGGCGGCAAGGTGGGGGTCAGCAGATTTTAATAATTTTTGGTGTGGTAAACCATCAACATGAAAGATATTGTGAGCCACTGGCTTTCTTATTTTGGATCATTAGTTTTAGAGATATGGGGGCAGTTCTTTTATTGGCAATTTTGCCAAAATATAGCATTTTTTAGCTCTTGAAAAATTATAATTTTAAATATTCTTAAAAAAAAACATGTACATCATAAGGAATTATTTAGGTAAGCCACATGATAGGTTAAGGAAAGACCCTCAATACCCAGTACAGATTTTTCGAAAAGGCACTGTCATGACCACACAAGGTTGATTCTATACATGTTTACCGTATGCTTGACCCCCTCCCCTTCTTTAAATGCACACAACTTCTTTTTTGCAGGTTGTATCCATATAATTTTGGTATGTGCTGAATGAAAAGTGTTGAAAAAATAAATTTTGTGAAATAAACCTTGTAAAATTAGAACTATAACAAATTTAAAAAGGGCCTAAAAACGAATATTTTATACTACTTAAATGCTTAACTGTTTCTTCAACTAAATTAATAAGTCAAAACCATGTATAGGTTTGTGAAAAGCCCTTAAAATAATCATGTTTGCCCTGCAGACAAACTTATGAAGCAAAAATACATTTTTTGAATTTGTTTATGTTGTAGAAACTAAATGTAAAATAACAATGCTAACTCTGTGACCTATTTTCAACATGGCGGGTACTAGGATTATCACCGGAGCAACCGTGGAGCAAAGCACATAGTCTTTACAGTGTGAAAACATAATGCTTTCTTAATTTTATGAAGAACACGCACTATAGAGATGCTTAGGCACATCTCAGAGGATTGGTTTTGCACTGAATATCACAAGAAATGACCATATCAGCTGGTCGTCCTAAGAATGTAATGTTTATTTTATTTTTTTTTTTTTTTTTGTTGTTGAACCACTTCAGACTGTTGTCAGGCTTGAGTTCCTCAATATATCCAGCTCATCGATTTAGCTCTGGATGTTTGTTGTAAGGTAAGTGATCATATATATATAAACAGACAAAGTCGGTTCTGTCGCTATTTCAGGCACTGTCTTCTATATGTAGTAATAACCTACCCTGGTCCCTGTTGTTGGCCAATGGTGGCATACATATACTAGAATCAGATACACTAAAAACTCAAACGAGTTTGAATAATAAGTTTGAATATTTTAAAGTAATATAAAGAATTAAAAGATGTACTGGTATATTTCATTTCATAGAATTTTACTTAATTTCTATTTCATGGTAGATATGTCTGCTGAAAAGAATCAAATGTATATCTAACTTATGAAGTATGTTTGTGCATTAAATTCTAGGGCTTTGTTACATGTGTTATCATAACACAAACAGTTAAGGACAACTGAGCTTGTAGACAGCTTCATTAGAAATTTCTTACCCAGAATCAAAGGTATGTAACACACATTCAATTACAAGTTTTGGCATTTTAGGGGATGTTACTTGTGCCAGTTTTTTTTTTATGTTTTAGTTTCAGATTTATGTGTGTTTACAATGAAGTTGAAGTTAACCACCTAGCTTTATGTGACTTTGTAACACACTGTGCTTCAATTTTCAAGACTTACATATTACACAGAATACTTGTACAACTAAAAGTACTTTAGTAAAATCAGGAAAACTTTGCAGTCCATTATGTTGTTCATGTTGCTTTGCAAGGGGGTGTGCCAGACAATTAAGCTGATTACAACGACTGAGCCTGAGTGTGATACTCCCCTAAGATGGATTGATCCTGCTACGGTAGTTTCTATTCTGAACACAGTAAGCCTTTGTTGTTGTAAAACATTTATTGATGTTATGTTTATTTTTTCAGATTTTACATCCTAGGCCTGGATGTGAACCTTGACCTGGACAATCTTACAGACAATAATAGAAGAGTCACCTGAAATTGCACAGGCAAATTCATCAGATTCAGATGTGAGCACCAACTCTGTCTTTCTAACATGAAATTCTGGTAGCTACATCATGCATATTTGATTTCATTTTCAATAATTGTTTTTACTTGTGCAATATGTTTGATCAGTATATTATTTAGTCATTGTTTTTATACAGCAATTAACATAAGTTTAAAATATGTTTAATACATTTTCTTTTGACAGCCTGTCCTGCCATCTTCAGGTAGACGCAGTAGTGGATATCCTGGCAAACCTTTATTGGACTTATACCCCGTTCACACTACAATCTGAAATATCCGAATTTTTGCAATGCGAATTGCGGGCGAAAAAGCCGATTCGGTTTTCTGGCCACACACAGCAAAGGGAAACCGAATCGCGAACTGAAAATCCAGCGGGAGGTTCCGGTTTGAAAAATGGCGCATGCGCAGAATCCATGAAAACAAAAATATGGCGCAAATCATTGCTCTTCTCGCACTCTGTTTTTTTTTCTCGTGTGTTTGTTTTTGGAACCTCAAATTTATCCCAAAGGTCGTCAAAGGAAGATTCAAGTAAGAAGAGGAAGAATTCTGTCTCCATATGTCAATTAAACAAGAAATTTCTTTGTGGGTCCACTGAGCTGGCATGTTTCTTTGCTGGTGCATGCGCAGTGCGATCTATACAGGGGGCCTTCCGGTAAGGTAACCGAATCACTGGAGAAAATCCAGCTCACTAGTAGGATTTTTAGAAACCGGTTTACAAAAATCCTCATGCGTTCAGACTACCGCAATGATTCGAATCTCGACCTAATTCGCTATTTAACCGGTTAAATGACTGCAGTGTGAACGGGGTATAATTAGAGTCACTTTGGGACAATCCCCCATAACAAATGTGCATCTTAGGCTTGGAAATCTCAGTCAGTTTTGTAGGAAAGGAGGACTGGCGCCATTGAATTGACAAATATTGACAATTGACAGTTTAGTCACACTAAACTATAGTGGCATGTTGCTTCAAGTTACCACACTTATTCTAAGATTGCTGAATTATCATTACTGTCTAAGAAGACCCTGGATCTCTCAACCAGAAGAAACTTGGGGATCAATCATTTATAAGATTAAAATCTGTGGAACACTAACCATCACTGTTGTGTTCAGCATATGGAAAAGATGACCGTGATATTGGAACCTTAGAGATTCATAACTTGATTCACTCCTGTCAAAAGTAACTGCTTTGTTCTTTTACTGTCCAATTGATAATATGAAAATAAAGTACTCCTCCTGTCATTGTATGTTGCTGACTCTGTTTTAATTTACTTTATAGAAAAAGAATATAGATATCAAGATATCACATGTATTTACAATGCTGATGACAATGGATATGCACAGTAATTACTCATTAAATGGGGGGGGGGGGGGGGGGGGGGAATAACTTGTCACTAGAAATTTAAATTTATTCAGAAGTTGTATGGCTCTGTTTGAAAAGAATATTATTTGAGCAATCCTGTATCACAAATCTCAAAATAAAAAATTAAAAAAAAAAAAAAATAAAAAAAAAACTGCAAAAATGGGCCTCTTGATTATTTTGAGGAATAAGGGTATCTGTATTTTGGGACAGAATTGATGGCAGCCATCTTGTACTTATAAAAATTGGATAGATTTGCCCTTATCAAAGCATAGTTTGAATTCCTGGCTGTGAGTCTTTGATTGAATTTGATTATTGGAAGGTATTATCTCAAAATGTACTGATATCTTGATTTCAGCCGTTTGGTTTTCTGCTAAAATTGCTTAAATCAATAATAACTCTTCGTTTTGCCCAAAAAAATGAATTTTCCTGGAGTAAACAACAATTTCCCATACCTACCAATGGTTAATGAATCCATTTTTACATTCAAAGTTAGTCCCTGGTTTTTTTTTCTAAAAAGTTTGGTTTTTTGTTAAAATCTCTTAAGAGATTTTAACAGAGTATAGACATCAATGAAGGTCACGTGGTCTAAAGACTAGTTCAGATATCAGAATAAAAGCTATAACTGCTGTTTTAGTGGTAAAACAGAATATATTATATTTCTATGAGTTATTCACAAGGTTTTTATTGTGAAATATAGATATCATACGAAGAGTTATTATCCCTTTAAGTTTGAGGCACTTTTTCAATATCTTCTGTTGTGTTTAACACACTTTTTTAATTTTGTATGATGAAAACAATATATGCTTAGGACCCCTGCAAAAAAGAGAGATATGAATGCTTGAACATTGCTTGGTAGAAAAATGACTTTGGGGGGTGGGGTTATATAAATGGGCGTGGCTCCTAAGTTTGTGGGTTAACCTGAAATTTAGTAACATATTCTCAATGGCAAATGGCTGGTTTAAATAGGCAAATTTTCAATTAATTTTAAAAAGTCATCAGTTTTGACATATTTGCTTATGAAGTGTCTTTATTGACCGAAGCTGAAAATCAAGCCAAAAATGGCCAAAACATATAATATCATATAATAATTATATCCAATGATTTCTATTGGGATTGTTGCCTTCAATCTTAATATTTCCTATATATGCAACAATATTATGAATTTGGTTGAAATCTGTTGACCCCCACCTTGCCACCCTCTGACTGGTCCTAACATTGACACACACTTAACATATACGATTGGGACATGCACTCGAAAGTTAACTTAATTGCTCAATTGACGGACCGGCAAATCACATAAAACAACTTTAGGATACTAAACCTGTCTACATGTACCACCGCGAAAAACACATTTTTAAATTACCATATGTAGGCACCTATTGAATACAATTACCTACTACATATAATGTTATTTTTTAAATATTTAGATTTTGCATAAAGACACATATGGCAGAATTATATTGCTTTATATTGTTTTAAGACTCATTGACCCATCAAGGTGACAGACGAGCTGACTGGAATGGTGGCACATACAGGAATAATACTTAATATTAAATATTTGTTACTTTTATCATTTTTGAGTGTTTTTTTTTCTTTTTTTTTTTTTGCTATATTCATCAAAAAAATTATATCATTGAATGATAAAAATATTCAGTCTTCTATTGTGAGATATTTCTGTCAAATAAAGGTGTCATTCAAAGGAAAAGAACACCCCCGGAAAACCATACCAACAGTTTGGTGTCAGTTTTAACTTTAAGCTAAGATATTACAGAAAATGATAGTATCCGGACAGTGATATGCTACACAGTCAAACAAATCATTACTGATAAGTAAGCAATAGCGGGTATGACCTCCAGCAGCCACTTGGGTTCATATCTGGGGAGTTTGCAGGCTACGGCAGTTGCTAAATCCACTGGTTTTGAAGAAAAGTAGTGATTCAGCGAGCTCGATGTGGGTGAGCTTAGTCGCCTTGTTACACAATGTTGTTCATGTTGAATGTATCTGTAGGAATCCTGGTTGAAGTGCCTTCTAGAAAAGACAATTGGTTCTAGCCACCGGAATGAAATCCTCCCCAAACACAGACGCTACCACCCCCTGCTTGCACACTAGGCTGTATACAATCATCGTTATATGCATCTCATACACGTCGGCGGACACGGATTCGACCGTCAACCTTAAAAAACTCCATATCTGGACTTTTCACTGAAACCGGCGTGATTCCTTTGGTTTGGCTGCAAGCACACGTGGTCCCCAGCCCATTGCAGACGACGCTGAACCCGGTCTCCGTTCAAAATAACTGGCTTGGAGTCATCTTTTGTTCACGAGGGGCCTTGAAACGGGTATTTGAATGACATTCTGCCAATCTTGTCTGAGGACCATGGTTGTCTTTGCACAACCAGCACGGCACAGTTTAAGGAGAAGGCAATCATGTCTTCTTGTGATACGAAAACACCCTAGTCGAGGACTTTGAGTAGGTGCATTTCTTTAGAGAACTTTACCAAAGGTTCCCTGATAAATGTTGAATTGCCTGACAACGGCTGCCGTTTCTGTCCATTTTCACTGAGAGCAATAATCGCATAGTAAGCTGCGTTGCTTAGCTGTCGTACCATATCTTCTCTAAAGGCCCCTTTACACTGGACGGCGTCGTCCTTTCTTCGTCCCTTCTGCGTTCAAAAATGTGGTCAGGACGCTAAACGGTCGCCAAAGCAATAAAATCATGTCTCAGTGTAAAGGCGTCTGCGCCCCTTGTGCGTCCTTTGAACGACCGAATCTTGATTTTACCTGTAAAACTGCAAGCGACCTGCCTGCGTCCACTGTACGTCCCCCGTGCAACCCAAGGCGTCCTTTGCGATGTTTGAGCGACGTCGACCACTGAGGATTCTTGCTGCGTTCTCTGTTTGAGAGTGAAAAAAAATGGCCTACGTGCCGAACACTGGACGATCTTTGAGTTTTCATTCTGCAACCAAAGCGATGCCTGTGCCTCCTTTCTACGACCGTGGCGATGCTTGTGCGTCCTCTCTGCGTCCACTGAGCGACCATCCACCATCGTTCTCTCTGAGATTGTTCTGAACATGCTCAAAACTTCGCGGCGTCCATGGCGTCCTCGGCGATGCTTGAACGTTCTTTGTGCGGCCTTAGAGATGTGCGTTCTTTAAGCGTCCGACGGCTTCCTGGCCAGTTTCATGGTCGCACAAAGGACGCAGAAATGACGCCGTCCAGTGTAAAGGGGGTTTAAGAGAAGTTTCAGAGCGATCTCTTTGTTTCTTCTCGAAATACACTCCAATGATTGACCTAACCCATGCGTTTCTATACAAGGGCAGAAATTGCCGAAAAGACCACCCCTCACATTTCTGACCACAGTACATGCAAATTCATGCATCAATTGTTTTGAGGGCTGTGTGGTAATTAGGTAACACACCTGGTTACACATGGAGTGACATCTCTCTCAGTTTCGGATTTAAAACAGCTAGAAAGAATATAAATATTTTGTGGAAAATTTACTCGCCAAAAATATTATTCCATATTAAATATCAACCCTGTATGTTTAAGGTTTGAACATAACAGTCATATTATAAAAGTTAAGTACCAATGTAGTGCATTTTCACAACTTTAGGAAAAAAGCGCGCTGGAGTATATACCTTTGTAGCTGGGGGAACTGGACAAACGCCAACATGCCCCTTCACGCTCTCCTCCACAGAACTTTCGCACATGTTATAAAACTGAGTGATGGGCCAATTTAGGTGAACAGATAGTTTATACCTCCTACCACGAGGGCCCTACTCCACCGCACTGTTACACTACCTTCCTTCATTAGACACCATTATTGATAAAATGTGACACATGACACGTGTAATTCTAGGTCTTAATTTCTCACTGTAGGCCCAGGA